CATGCATCAACAGTCCCACATTGCCTCCATCAGCGCTACGCTATCGGTAAACATGACCACTATCACAACATTCTGAATCAAAAATGGCCCTAGTTCCACCAGTATTGACAACACAGCAAACATTTTCAACACACACATCGCCCTTATCCCCTGCAACACACCACGTACCTCACCATGCGTCGTCCTCGTTGCTATCCAGTAATGGCGGCCGCTGACTGCACGTCATCACTCAAAGTACACAAATCTACGGAGGGCAAAAGGGACACATTCCATTTTCGCCAAGGGACATAACTCTTGCAATGACATTGATGATTTTATGCGAAAAAAACACTTCACAATGTAACAATGACACCGACAGAGGTTCTAAAGGTGAAAAATCAACTAGCAAACCAGTACTTACACATGTCATTGCTGCTCACACATGACATACATGTCATAGACCACAAACACAAGTGCACACAACTAATAATTAACTGATCTCATAGAGTAATGGACTTGACAATGTTATGTGCTGGCAAGCATACATTATATACCCACTAATAACAGTAACATTTGGTGAAGGATTAACATAATGTGAGCATATGAAATTCATGAACTGTCGCGTTATGACTTATTGTGTATTTTGCTGATTTTGCAGATGTAACAAATGTATTCAACAAACATCAACATGCCAAAGAGAAAAATTAATAACTGCAGCTGTCGTTCACATGACAAATATACAAGTCATTCCTCTGCATACAAAGTGTCAAAGATTTCATCACGTGTTCATCCGAAATCTATCATAGATTGTTTAAAGGCTACTGGAGATTTGACACATGATAGTACTTATATATGTACTGGCTGTGCAAATCATGCAAAAGACAATCTCTCAAAAGAAACACAAAATCCTTCTGTAAAAGAAGTGATACATGCCATAGAACATTCAAGACTTTCTGACGACGAGTTCCATGATTTAATCTCAGCAATTGGTTCATCTCTACATGCCTGCATCAACACAGAAACTGACCAAATGCGCAATGTGTATAAAGACAAAGATTTCTTGCACAAACTTGATTGTAAAAAATGGCTTCGAAATAGGAACAGACATTTAATTACTTTACTTTGCACGATGTCGAACCATCACATTGAGGATGAGAGTGACCCCCAGAATAGGAAAAAAAACATTCTGATGGCCAGAATTATTGAAAATCTTTGCTACATGTCGTGTGGGAACCTAATAGCTCCATTGGCATTTACCATTAACATACTTCAATATTTTCTCACAGGAGTAAAAGTGCCACCACTTTGAATAATCATGTGTCACCTTCCGATCTTACACAACCAATGCCAATTGGTTAGACAACATTTGTAGTCCAAATACATGTCCAACAGAAGGCTCTGTCATGGTATTTTTTGATAATAACCAAAAGGTGGAAAGAAACTGGAATGTTTCCCTCAATTACAAAACGAAATGTAGTGTAACAACAAATGTCATTTACATCCGCAACCCTACTTGTTCCATACAAACTCAACTGTCATTCTCCCCATACCTTTGGTTGCACACCGTTGACACTGAAGATAAACTTGGATCCCTTACTTGACCAATATTCTACAAATTGTGTAAAATTATTGGACAATGTCATACACGATTTCTTACAAACAAGAATAGATGCTATCAAATTAGAACAAAGATTGAGAATGGAGTGTTTGTTGATCCTGTGGATGCACATAGGCATACAGTACAAGATTGTGCCAAGAAGGAATCCGATGATCCATATGCTTTTATCCCTGAATGTCATCCAGTCCCTCATCCCTTGATAAGTCTTGGTGATCCCGTGATGGTAAAACCCCAATGGTTACCAAAGTGTCGAAGAGGTGTTAACATGCATTGAAAATCAGACAGGATTGGGAAAGGACAGGGAGTGGGTTACCGTTGGTTGTGATGGGTCACCATACAACATTGTGGCGAACATTATCAGCAAATGGATGATTTGCCCAGTCTGTCAAATGGAGTTCAGGGGGGGAAGCACCAACTTCTTAATCATGTTCAACACGTGCATTCCATGCCCTCCGTAGATTTGTGTACTTTGAGTGATGACGTGCAGTCAGCGGCCGCCATTACTGGATAGCAACGAGGACGACGCATGGTGAGGTACGTGGTGTGTTGCAGGGGATAAGGGCGATGTGTGTGTTGAAAATGTTTGCTGTGTTGTCAATACTGGTGGAACTAGGGCCATTTTGATTCAGAATGTTGTGATAGTGGTCATGTTTACCGATAGCGTAGCTGATGGAGGCAATGTGGGACTGTTGATGCATGGGGTATGGTTAGAAGGAATACCGTACTAAGCAAAAATAACCTCACCATACTGCGACGTTCCGTGTGAGCGCCGCGGATGGTGAGATTGCCGTTTTTATGGGCTCGATAGGGCGCGTTTATTCACTTAGTTGGGGTGTAATACCCAGGATGGGTCCATATACACTAGATAGGGGGTATCCCCCAACCTGCCAAAGGTGACAGGTGGCCAAACACATATTGAAATGTAGGTCATACACTGAAAATAACTCTGATTTAAAAACACTACAAATATACACCTCTCTCTAATATACTCGATAGATGATCTTGACAAGGAACATGTACATAAAATGCTGATATCTAACAATACCTCTACTATAAATAATGGACTCTTCCAAATCTCAGCATGTTTCACTGCACACACATTTAAATGCAAAATAATGAAAACCTACACTTTGGCAATAATAAAAACATCATATTCAAATTCTACAGCTGACCAAATACCTGAAGAGTGTGTCTCCAAGCAATAAACATCTATATATCTCTATAAATTTATGACTTCTGTCCTCTAGCGTGCTATCTCGCACCCAGCTCTTTACGGCGAAAAACAATATGGCGCCAAGCAAGGGAGTGCTCATTAAACTAAACATCTCCGGGAGAAATCATCGTCAAATTATTCTCTAACATGATCAACCTTAATATATATATGAAGATAAAGACCAACTATTATCACCAAAAAAGACCAAACATTATCACAAATATTCAAAACAGGTGGTAATGAAAGAGCATTATCATCTTTCTCTTAAACTTTGTGATGGATAATCTGGAAACAAGTGAAGTGTTAAAAACTTGTTACCTTAGCATTGCTCCTTTTATGTGATCCACAAAATTGATGCCACCCAATCTTCGAAGATGAGATTTCTGCAAATTCCATTAAAATTAAATCTTATTTCATAATTAAATGATCCTTACTAAATTACTTCTTTTGTATGTAACATTTTAACCATTAAGAGACATGAATCATCACATCCCTTCCAAACAAGTGTAAGAATGAAAGTCTATGGGGTGCAGTTTTGTTAATTGCCCCATCAAAGAATCATTAGTGAAGTTACACATTTTGTAAATAAATAAAAGTTCAAATACATTATACACAATTTCATCCTTAACAAAGACTTGCACAAGACATGTTGATGTGAATTCTCGTTGCATGATCTGAGAAATTTCCTTTCGCCATTCTCCATCCCCCTCCCTCCAAATAATATACATATGTTGACAGGATTCAGAGCGTGCTCAATGCACAATTTACTGATAGATCTATTGAAACGAACAAATGTTCATAATAATGTGATGCAATATAAAATGTTGATAAATTCTATTCGATTATGTATAGATGCCCTTAGGGACTTTTCATAATGTATGGCTTGGTGGTGATGATGATTTTTATGGAGAAGCATGTACAATGTGAATTATCCCCCACCCCACCCCACCCCACCCCGTAAAATGTATGTACAAAATAAGTGACGCCCCACCCTGCATGTCATGTACAAAATTAATGACCCTCTCCCTTCCCATAATTTCTAAGCATCATATTAAACATAGTACGTGTGTACAAAATTGCTGACCCTCTTAGCTCCGTGATGGGTACGAAAGGAAATCTTTTTCCATTAGATAATAAAATGCCAAATATATGCATGCAAATATATTGAAAAATAACAAAACAAGTTCATGGAAAACACGGGCTTCCACGAAATTGAGAAACATGTACGTGACAATACCGGTAACCTTGTCAGATAAACACGAGCCCTAATTCGGAGTTTCTTGCTGCATTGACCTGCTAGATTTAAACAACATTCCTACGTTTTCATTATACATGAAGGACATACTTACCAAATAAACACCAGCATGCCGTGAAGAGGTTGAAAATAGAACGATATTGCGTTGAACTTCGCCAAAGTGAACTGACAACGATCAACTGCCTTTGCGCGCGCGATAATTGTGAGCATGTCCGGATATGACCAAACGAGGCGATCGAAAGGTCAACATCTGGCATGTGTTTGAAAGCAAATTGTCGGGAATTATACAATTTTGACAATTTTGTGGGAAAATATCAAATGTAATGCAATTCGGATAACTGATGACTTTATACCTAAAATCATTGATTTTTTCATTTTCAATTGCGATTTACGTAATATTTCCGTCCGTTGATCGATGCACAATCAAGCAAGATATAAGATTATATCTGTCACTAGCTCGAACTTGATCTTTTATGAAATTAATGTTCCGAAATGATAGTTGCTAAGTTGGATACCTATTACCAATATGAATTATGTATCAAATTAGCCAAGGAAACAATTAGCTGACATTTTGTTGGGTCCTTACGTTGAAACAACGTTGACAACTAAACGAATCTCGACTAACTTTCTTTGGTCGCATGATAAACGTTGAATCAACGTTTATGAAAGGTTGATCAACCAAACAACCAAAAGTCAACGTTTAATAAACGTTGACTCAACGTTGTGTTCCCGCTGGGTTAGTAATAATCCAGCAGTATCACGGCAGGGGACACCAGAAAAGGGCTTCACACATAGTACCCATGTGGGGAATCGAACCCGGGTTTTCGGCGTGACGAGCGAACGCTTTAACCACCAGCCTACCCCAACGCCCCTCTCTGACAATAATGGACAATGTAAGCAAGCACAGGGTACAGGCTTTTGTTTTGGTTTTGTAGATGGCAGAAGATGGAGTACGCCACAAGGTTGTGGATAACGTCGATGACTGCGTCAAGGCTGTCGATGACCTCCTCCAGGAGTCTGTCGTTGCTGTGGACTGCGAGGGAATCAATCTGGGAAAGAAGGGCCCTCTCACTCTCCTCCAGGTGGCCAAACTAGACGGTTTTGTCTACTTGTTCAATGTGTTCGTTGAGCCAAAAGTCTTTACCGAAGGCCAACTAAAGTCGTTTCTGGAAAATCGAAACATCGTTAAGGTATGTCTGTGAAGTGATTATGGTAGTCAGTATTTCTGATAGGACACATACTTAAAATAGATCTTAAACATTCCCACGACTGCCTCTATTTTCCGCCATTTATTAGGTTTCTATTTGCACTTCGGGCGCAGTGGGATAGCCTAGTGGTTAAAGTGTTCGCTCATCACGCCAAAGACCTGGGTTCGATTCCTTAAACGGGTACAATGCATGAAACCCATTTCTGGTGTCCCCTGCCATAATATTGCTGGAATATTGCTGATAGCGGCGTAAACCTAAACTCGCTATTTCACTTTTAGGTATTTCACGCGTGCAACCGAGACAGCGCCGCCCTGAAGTGTCAGTTCGATGTCATGCTGAACAATGTGTTTGACGTGCAGGTATTGTAAAATGATTACGCTTCATACACACATTGATCTTTGCTTGTAAATGAGAAAATGTTTCACTGTTTCCAAATCCGTATTGCATTAATGTACAATAGGCCAATCCATATTGCATTTATGCACAATCATCCCATCCGTATTGTATCTGTGTACAATCACCCAATCCGTATTGCATTTATGCACAAACATCCAATCCGAATTGCATTTATGTACAATCACCCCAACCGTATTATATATGTGTACAATCCCCCCAACCGTATTGTATCTGTGTACAATCACCCCATCCGTATTCCATTTATGTACAATCAACCCATCCGTATTGCATTTATGTACAATCACCCCATCCGTATTGCATTTATGCACAATCATCCCATCCGTATTGTATATGTATACAATCACCCCATCCGTATTGCATTTATGTACAATCACCCAATCCGTATTGCATTTATGTACAATCACCCCATCCGTATTGCATTTATGTACAATCACCCCATTCGTATTGCACTTATGTACAATCACCCCATCCGTATTGCATTTATGTACAATCATCCCATCCGTATTGCATTTATGTACAATCATCCCATCCGTATTGCATTTGTGTACAATCACCCAAACCGTATTGTATCTGTGTACAATCACCCCATTCGTATTGCATTGATGCACAATCACCTCAACCGTATAGTATCTGTGTACAATCACCCCATCCGTATTGCATTTATGCACAATCACCCCATCCTTATTTCATCTGTGTACAATCATCCCATCCGTATTGCATTTATGTACAATCACCCCATCCGTATTGCATTTATGCACAATCATCCCATCCGTATTGCATTTATGTACAATCACCCCATCCGTATTGCATTTATGCACAATCATCCCATCCGTATTGCATTTATGCACAATCATCCCATCCGTATTGCATTTATGCACAATCATCCCATCCGTATTGCATTTATGTACAATCACCCCATCCCAGATTGCATTTATTGCATTCATCCCACAATCATTTATAGAGTCACATCCCATCCATTATTGCATTTATGCACAATCACCCCATCCGTATTGCATTTATGCACAATCATCCCATCCGTATTTGCATTTATGTACAATCAATCCCCATCCGTATTGCATTTATGCACAATCATCCCATCCGTATTGCATTTATGCACAATCATCCCATCCATATTGCATTTATGTACAATCATCCCATCCATATTGTATTGTACAATCATCCATTTATTGCATTTATGTACAATCACCCCATCCGTATTGCATTTATGTACAATCATCCCATCCGTATTTTATCTATGTACAATCACCCCATCCATATTGCATTTATGTACAATCATCCCATCCGTATTGCATTTATGTACAATCACCCCATCCTTATTGCATTTATGTACAATCACCCCATCCGTATTGCATTTATGTACAATCACCCCATCCGTATTGCATTTATGTACAATCACCCCATCCGTATTGCATTTATGCACGATCATCCCATCCGTATTGCATTTATGTACAATCACCCCATCCAGTATTGCATTTATGCACAATCATCCCATCCGTATTGCATTTATGTAATCACATTGCATCATCCCACCCCAACCGTATTGTATCTGTGTACAATCACCCCATTCGTATTGCATTGATGCACAATCACCCAAACCGTATTGTATCTGTGTACAATCACCCCATCCGTATTCCATTTATGCACAATCACCCCATCCTTATTTGATCTGTGTACAATCACCCCATCCGTATTGCATTTATGTACAATCACCCCATCCGTATTGCATTTATGCACAATCATCCCATCCGTATTGCATTTATGTACAATCATCCCATCCGTATTGCATTTATGCACAATCATCCCATCCGTATTGCATTTATGTACAATCATCCCATCCATATTGCATTTATGTACATTCACCCCATCTGTATTGCATTTATGCACAATCATCCCATCCGTATTGCATTTATGTACAATCACCCCAACCGTATTGTATCTGTGTACAATCACCCCATTCGTATTGCATTGATGCACAATCACCCAAACCGTATTGTATCTGTGTACAATCACCCCATCCGTATTGCATTTATGTACAATCACCCCATCCGTATTGCATTTATGCACAATCACCCCATCCGTATTTTATCTGTGTACAATCACCCCATCCGTATTGCATTTATGTACAATCACCCCATCCGTTTTGCATTTATGCACAATCATCCCATCCGTATTGCATTTATGTACAATCATCCCATCCGTATTGCATTTATGTACAATCACCCCATCCGTATTGCATTTATGCACAATCACCCCATCCGTATTGCATTTATGTACAATCACCCCATCCGTATTGCATTTATGCACTATCATCCCATCCGTATTGTCTCTGTGTACAATCACCCCAACCGTATTGCATTTATGCACAATCATCCCAACCGTATTGTCTCTGTGTACAATCACCCCAACCGTATTGCATTCATGTACAATCACCCAATCCGTATTGCATTTATGCACAATCACCCCATCCGTATTGTATCTGTGTATAATCACCCCAACCGTATTGTATCTGTGTACAATCACCCCATCCGTATTGCATTTATGCACAATCATCCCAACCGTATTGTATCTGTGTACAATCACCCCTTCTTTATTGCATTTATGCACAATCACCCCATCCGTATAGTATCTGTGTACAATCACCCCAACCGTATTGTATCTGTGTACAATCACCCCAACCGTATTGTATCTGTGTACAATCACCACATCCGTATTGTATCTGTGTACAATCACCCCATCCGTATTGCATTTATGCACAATCATCCCAACCGTATTGTATCTGTGTACAATCACCCCATCCGTATTGCATTTATGTACAATCACCCCATCTGTATTGCATCTGTGTACAATCATCCCATCCGTATTGCATTTATGTACAATCACCCCATCCGTATTGCATCTGTGTACAACCACTCTACTGATATTGCACGTTCTTACAGCTTCTGTATAAAAACATCCCATCGGAACGTCTGATATGTATGTAGTATGTACCCCACTAATACGTCAACCTTTAACTTACACCACACGTTTAGCTACCGTTTAGCGAACCGATTATTGTTGAACATCACTATTTGTGTGTGTGTTTTAAGCCTTCTGTTATTTGTTTTATGTAACTTCATATTTACTGTATGTGGACCCAAGTGTCTCATGTATGTGTACCCAAGTGTTTTAAGCCTTCTGTTATTTGTTTTATGAAACTTCATATTTTCCACAGACGGCACTTTTCATCATTGAAAAATCTGAAGGGAGACAACTCCCATCTGCCCGGAAGTTGATTGATGTTTGCAGCCGCTACACTGACGTCACTTCCCTTGAGGGAAAAGAAGACGTCACAGTAGGTTACCCGTAGCTGAGGAAAAAAGAGAGTGTTATTACTTACACACCTGAGTTCACTAAATACTTTGTGCTACCCGAAGACATTTTGTACAGCAAAAGCGTCATGGTGAAAAAATGAAATGTATATATACTGACCTACAAATGAAAGTACACACCTTGTGTTTTGGAATGATTTTTAAAAAGAAGGAAATATTTTTATTGGTACAAGTCACAAACATTGTGTACGTGTTGCGAAAACACACAAATATGGCCCCAAACTGTGACGTTATCAGCGTCTCACGTTCCTCGTCCACCGTGGACGACTCAGTCGATGTTGACGGGTGAATGATAGACCCGGATTCCGTCAGCATGAAATGCTTTCGTCACTGTTCTGCCGCAAATTAGGTAACCAAACGTTCTTGCTGCTGATAATTTTAGCATCAACTGTGTCTGACAAATTACGTTGTTTTGGGTTTTGCGAAAAAAAATAACCGCGCCAAACCCGGTTTATACTTTCTTTAGTAGGTCAGTTTATTTCACAATCAATGCATCTCAATTCATAGATCATCAAGTTATCCCGATGTCTGGGGGTTTGCTTTTTCAGTAAACACGTGAAGATGGTAGGGGTAAGGGGTAGAATTGGTCTTCAGTAACCCATGCTTGTCGTAAGAGGCGACTAACGGGATCGGATGGTCAGGCTCGCTGACTTCGTTGACACGTGTCATCGTATTCCAGCTGCATAGATCGAGGTTCCTGCTGTTGATCACTGGATTGTCTGTAGATGGAATAATGCTGACTGTCGCGTTAAGGAAAATGGATACAAACAATGTCTTGAAGCCATCATATTGTGACACGGTTAAGAACCTTTCTTTATGATTCTGACTTCTATGTTTCAGGCCAAATTGTACAAAAGCAATGCTGCTTATTGGGCAACAAAAAGAATTTACACAGGAAATGATCGACTACGCATGTGCAGATGTACGGATTTTGATACCCGAGGTGTATGAGAAAATGAAAAGGTAGGTCAAAGATGTAACCATTAGGTGTAATACCTCCAGAGGTCTTGAGACAACACGAGGCGTATTGTCAACAAAGAATGGTAGTTTTGTAATTGCTTAAACGTACAACTTGTTGGGTATGGCGAACAACTCGCACACAACGTGCAGAGTCTGGCAAAGGCTTCCAGGGGAAGACGGCGAAGTGATGCTGACACTCGGGCAGTTCGTAGCTTCAGGTTGCTGGCTTGTCTTTCCTCTAGTTTGTTTCTCGATGTCTGCTTGCTCTGTCCTTTTTGACTATCTTGTCGGCGTTTAAAGGCAGATGAACGTCCAACAATCTGGATCGGTCTGCAGTTCTCACTGACATAATCTGCCCAGGTTCTCATGGACATATTCTGTCCAGCTGGCCATTTTGACGAGCTTAACACATGTCCGACATCTGTGCATAACAACAGTGTAACACAGGGCTAGTCAAGTAGCACCTGTTGTATCTCAGTTCAACTAAGTTTTATACTCAGATTCATCAACCACAACACATTGCATGTAACACTTACATTATACTTCTTGTTTTCAGCATACTTGACGATAAGGATCTCTGGAGAAGTTTCAGGGAAAGGGTAGATTACGAGCTGAACTTTCGATGGAACGAAGCAGTGAAGTCAAACAGCGATGAATTCATGTCAGTCGCGAAGAAGGTTCTGCGCCAGTTTGAATTGAAGTACGCAAGCGATATCGCTTTTGCTGATATTTCGGATGAAGATGATATTCAAGCTCTGAGACTGGTCCGAATCACAGAAATTGACGGGTTCCCTGTTCTTGTCAGGAGGTTGAAAATCGAATTTCTGAAGAACGAGCTGAAGACGATAGAAGAAGAGATGACTTCACAAGGGGACTCCTTCATTGCGACTTTATCTCACTTGAATATGTTGTATGCAGCAAAGAGAAGCAACAACTTTGAACTGAAGAACTTGGCTCAAAGACTACAGCAAAGAGCTAATGACATACTCAAGAAAGACCTGGTCGCCAAATACACGGAGCTAACTCCAAAAGACCATCTCAAAGATGAAGAGAGAAGGTTGTTACGAGATCTCCCTGTCTCAACCGGAACCAGCTCAGCTGTCAACCCCGTCCTCCGCCATCTTTACAACGTCAGCATCGACAGCGACGTGGAGGAAATTGAGACCTTGAGGCAGAAGTTCCAGCGTGAAGGCAGTCGTTTCAGACTTCACGATGCCGACCACCGACAGTACAAGTACTTCATCAGCGCTCCTGGGGTTCCTGAGAGGCTTAAGACAAAGGCCAAGCTATTTCTGGACGAATTACAGGAGGCTGGGGTGGTGGCAGCTCCCAGAAGGAGGTTGCAGTATCAGTTTGGATTTTGAGTGTCTTTAGAATTGTCTCCACCAATGTCCAATTGATTACCAATATCTGTTTTAAAATATACTCCTGTTACAGCAATGACGAAGCCTCCTCATTCCACAAATAATGTCCCTCAAAATATTCCATTAGAGAAAGTATTCTACAATTGCAATAGGTTAGGCTTGAAACTGATGTGTCCCAGCTCCTCGTGCCTGTCAAGTACCTTGTACCTTTACTATATTTTGTATTGTGAAGGTAAACTACAGAACACTGATGCTGTGATACACCGCTTTGACAGATGGTATTGGAGGTTTTAATTTTGAGAGCACTTTTTCAACATATATGTACAGGATTCACTTGGGCTTGAGAAATCCCCCTGAAATATGGATATTTTACCCCGAAAAAGCTCCCAATTCGTTTTAGCCTAGAAAGGCCCCTATTGCCAGTAATTTGTGATTTTACAGGAGACAAATACATAATAAAAAATACCTTGCAATATGACAGTAAGTATTAATTAATCTCCACAGCTAAGATATTTTACCCTGAAAAGGCTTTAAATTCGTTTTAGCCTTGAAAGGGCCCTAATTGCCAGTAATTTGTCCTGAGAAGGTCCTTTATATGTGTTACAGTCAGATTGTTAAATCAGTCATTTCGTGAAATGACTAAGAGGATCAGCCATTTCGCTATTGGCTATATACATGTAAATAGGTTTGGACGTTTCCATCAAATTTGATAAATGTGCTTCATAACGATTGCCAATGTTCGTGATACACGAAACAATTCGCCAAGACGCATTTTGTGGTCTCGACTCTCAGAAACACGAAACACATGTCTCAGTAGGATACATGGGAAAGATCGTGCAAAAAATCAGTATAAATGGCCTGTCCAACACTGCAATATCACTGAAGGTATCCTCCCATTTGTCAGACGTGCCATTTGTCAGACAGGTTAAAACAACAAACTATCTGGTTGAGTGCACAGCTAATCCCCTGCCTGTTACCTCCTAATGAAATAGGAATGGCCCATAAAACAAATAACAGAAATAAGAAATGTAAGAAATCAGGGAAGACTTTTTAATAATAATGATAATAACAATAAAAATAATGATCATATCCAGTACAAGTAAGCAAATCGATATGAAATCAGCCAGAACTGATTTATATTAGAGTAGAGTTCAATATTGTCAGCCCAGTTTCAACAGGTGTCCAACAGCATCCAGGAATTGAACAGATGTCTTCTGACCACTTGTCAGCTTCTCTTTCAGCCGGAGCAGTCTCTCCTCAGACACTATGTACACCTTCTTCCTGGGCTGGGGAGCGGCACCAAAGTCAATCTGCGTTAGCTTAGCGTCTTCTGATGTCTCTATGGCTTGGATCAGGTCCACAAATCGGTACAGGTTTGGGTGGTGATGTGGGAGATGTGTTCACACGAGCATGAAATCCCTCCAAATTGTTGTTTGTCCTCGGTCCAACTGTGTGGTGATGATTCCATAGGGGTAGAGGAAAACGGGCGTCGTCGTCAACCTATTCCATAAAGTTGAACAAACTACTCCCAATTTCGTTACTACAACATGCAATCCCACACACTGATTAAAAGCAACTTACAAACACAATCATAATCTGGTTAATCTGTATCACTTAACGAACTTGAGAGCGGGGAGTAGCCAACTCTGTTCACAGTTGGGAGCAGCTCATTAATTAATTAGTGGGTAAGTCCAGGCAGTTACACTGGTCACACTTGACTGGTCTGTCTGATAATTGGCACGTCTGACAAATGGGAGTGAACCTCACTGAACATAAAGTCACGCAGAGAGAATGCCAAGGTTAACCCAGGCAGAAAGAGAACGAGCAGTAAGGATAGTTGAATGGCTGACCTTCTTAGTCATTTCACGAAATGATTGAATGTTTTAGTCATTTCACGAAATGACTGATTTCACAATCTGACTGTAACATATACACTTTCCCAGTGCAGGGATGTAGCTTAGAGTTATTTCCCTCTGTTGGTCAGTCACACATTTGACCAACCTTGTGTGCATTTAACTTGTTTTGTGTGTTTCTATAGTTTTTTAAATTGTTGATCAGGCCTTGAAAACACCCTAACAAGTCCTAAGTTTGATGGTTGATAATCTGTACGAACCCTGATGTTCCAATGTGAGCCTGAAATGATCTCATCTCAGACGTCTGATCATTTTTATAAAATAAATTCCTGGTCGTGGCAATAACATTTATTATTTCATATGTTGATTAATTTTTGAAAAAATAGAATGTTGAAATTATTGTACTCACACTCATTGATGACGCTGCGTAAGTCACCTGCACGGGCTAATTTGCATATCACGTGACCAGAATTTTCTCTTCTCTGTAAATACACAAATACACCAATGATTGTGCCATGTCAATTCCTTTTCACTATTTACTGTAAATATTATTTAGCTTCTTTCATTGTCCTTGCTATTGTCTGTGATGATATACGTTTATATTTTACTGGACTAGTTTGTAGAAAATAGCTATTTATAGTGTAATGTAGGTACCTGTAATTACCGACGATAAATGTCCTTTTTAAACTCTTTATCGGTAAATTAATGCAAAATTTCAAACAGACCATATACATACAACCATGACTTGTTATAAACATGTTTCCCAACAACGTTGCCTGAAGCCAAAGATACGTGAATACGAGTTCAGCTTCCCGAGAAGGTATTATGCAATGTCTTCTTTTGGGGACGTGCAGCTAGGGTATTATTTGCCGATTTTTCAAAACTGATCTATCATCCTGAACAGGAGAACCTTCATATATTTACTAAATTTATATCAAAATGTGATATTGTTAATTTATTTTCTTGCACCGTCAATTAAAGCTTCAACCGACGCCTTTATTTTTCATGGCGTTTCCTTTGTACGTTAAGTTTTTTAATGTTTTAGTTATTTTATTTTTAGCATGTAAGCCATGCCTATGTGGAAACATTATTGTATTGTCAATGTATTGTATCCTTCAGATTGCCTGTCTTTGATTCCCATGCTTTCTAATATTACGGTATTCTTGTTTACACCCTGATCTGAAGAGTACTGCTCCGTGCCAGTAATATAACACTGTCTCTTCAAGTATATTGTGTCAACCCAAACGTTTTAAGTTGCTTCCGTTCACTTTATTTGTCTTACAGTTTTCAACATGTTTTATAGCAGACATATCATGTACTATGCTCATGTTCTATCATATGCCCATGTTAACTGTGATTCTTGGTCAGTGTGATATATTCTTAATGTGTCTCATAAACCTATTGCTGGTTCTAAATATAAGTGTTGATAGAAGTTAATATCATTTAGATAATGATAACCTAGATAATAATCTTAATAAACACGTTTGACGGGTTTCTTGTTTTATGTCACAACGACCTTCCTCATTGAAAACATGACTCGTTTTATGTAAAACTTTTTATTCTTTACACCACGTCTCAGAGCTAATTCTTGCTCCGTCATCAGTTGAATGCTGTCAGTGAACACAGTGAATATATAGAGACATAGTTGTTACATAAGGGTGGACAAGGTGGGTGGGTGAGTTTAGTTGTACGCAGCTGTCAACAATATTACAGCAATATCACTGCGGGGGACACCAGAAATTGTCTTCACATATTGTACCCTTGCAAGGGAATCGAACCGGGGTCTCCGGCGTGATGAGCGAACGCTTTAACCACTAGGCTACCCCACCGGTCCAGAGTGAAATGTTAACTCCACGGGTACCTGTATAACGTTTGTATGAATTAGTGACCGACTCGTGTTGTCAAGCTGAATTGTCAAACCGAAACATGAGCAGCCTGGTTCCCTGGCTGGGAATCAAACAGGGATAGAGTTATCGTTCTTGTTTAAAGTAGTTCTGATGTTCATGCGCCAATATGAAATCCTTCCAGAGGGGCACGAGTCGTTATTCGGCTTGTCCCGGAATAACACGAGTGGTCACGAATGGGGCTTGTTATGGAGATTGTACGTGCGCTTCGACTAATTTTAGGAAATGTAATTATAATCGCTACCACTTTCAAAACAATAATATCGTATTTGTATGTAACTAATCAACCTTAATCTTTAGCATTGGGCTTATATTTCATAGCTCTTGGGGATGTTTTTTGGTCATTCATATTTTTTCCAGCGAATTCATTTAAAATTCCACCAGGAGTGTGACAGCAAGGTTACACGAATGTTCAACTTGAGAAATATTTTAAAGTCATTTTTGAGTATCTTCTTTGGGATTTAATGTACCTGAATTTTTTTTTTATTTGTATATGCAATAAAACAATTCCCATTTGTGATGATTAAACCCTATTAAGAAGCCTATTAATTAACATAATTGGAAATAAAAGGTGAACAGCTGGTAATAATTACATTAGAATATGTCTTTAACAAATATGTTTTTCTCCTTCTTTTAGTTGTATCAAAGAGGTTGAATTCTTTAAAATAAATAAGTAAAAAAAAACCCAAAACAACAACCTAGCAATACAATGTACATGTGCTTCGGTGATTTTTAGAAACATTGGAATCAAACAGGAATAGAGTTATCGTTCTTGTTTAAAGTAGTTCTGATGTTCATGCGCCAATATGAAATCCTTCCAGAGGGGCACGAGTCGCTATTCGGCTTGTCCCGGAATAACACGAGTGGGTCACGAATGCTTCCAGAGGGGCACGAGTGGCTATTCGGCTTGTCCCAGAATAACACGAGTGGGTCACGAATGCTTCCAGAGTGGCACGACTCGCCATTCGGCTTGTCCCGGAACAACACGAGTGGGAAACGAATGCTTCCAGACGGAACAAGTCGCTATTCGGCTTGTCCCGGAACAACACGAGTGGGTCACGAATGCTTCCACAGGGGCACGAGTCGCTATTTGGCTTGTCCCGGAATAACACTAGTGGGTCACGAATGCTTCCAGAGGGGCACGAGTCGCTATTCGGCTTGTCCCGGAATAACACGAGTGGGTCACGAATGCTTCCAGAGGGGCACGAGTCGCTATTCGGCTTGTCCCGAAATAACACGAGTGGGTCACGAATGCTACAGATATGTGCGTTTCTACGAAAGCTTAAAGCTGCCACTTTTGTGGCATAAATATTTTTGTTCTCATTGCTTCAATTGCCCGTGCTTTGGAGTATTTTCTCATTGTTTCAAATAGTTTCTCATTGCTGCAATTATTTTTTCGTTGCTTCCATTAATACCTTGTTGCTTAGAGTATTTTCTCGTTCCTGCAACTTTTTTTAAAAATCTTGAAGAAACGAGAAAATACTCGAGGCAACGAGTAAAAACTTGAAATTTCAAGTTTTGGAAAGATAACAAAGGTTCGAAGCAACGACAAAATACTCGAAGCAACGAGAAAATAATAATAAAACCGGCCACATTTGTGTTGAATACGTAATGGAAAAATATCTAGAATCTGTTTGTAGATGCAAGAACAAAATCCGATACTCGCATCAGAGTTTATTACATCCGTGCAGGTTACAATTTAACAATTCATGAGATTCATGAGCATTTCATCCTTGAAACTTGTTGAGCACTTGGACAACGAATCAGGCTACGATGAAAACTGATGAGCTCTGATGAGGTTCAAAAAACTACAATATAAGCAGAAACAATTTCATAATCTTTGCTCATTAATGCACTTTAAACATATTTACTTTTGGCATTAATAAACTCTACTATGCTTATTGAAATTGTACAAATACATTTGGATGACTAAACATTTGAACAACATTTCGTTAAACTGTTATCAAAATTGTTTATCAATAATTTATTATTAATACAAATGATAATAATGCAATAAAGTTAGAAATATTATGAGTTGAAAGTAACTTACATTTGTTTCTTGACATGCAGTTATTCGCAGACAGTGAGGTGAAGCAACTTTCCAGCATGGTGGTCAGGCACAGACTGAAGGGCATGCTTTTTTAGACCATGTGCTTCCTTAGGGATGTCATGTGATAAACAAGTGTTAGAAGTGAGGCTAATTTAAATACTTTATGTAAATTAGTTAAATTAGTTACAAAAGTTTAGTTGGTGTAAGTGGGGTTTGAACTTGCAACCTTTGGATTACAAATCCACAGCCTTAACCATTAGACCAATGAGTTAAGATATTTGCATTTTAAATTTTAGTAAAATTTAAGTTTAAGATTAAATTTAAACTTTAAACAATATTAACACATAGAATTAAAGGGAATATTGAAACATGCAATCTTGCATTTACACTGTTGATTCTGGGGAGTCTGAGTTCTCATTCATTCTTCTCCCGAAATCAATCGAGTGATTTCTCTGACTGTGAGAGATAGACGATGATTTTGACCTAATCTTTTGTCTGTCTGTTTGTTAACGCGACACACAACTATATGACGGCTGCATGTACATAGTCAGTTCTGGACCAGACAATCCTATGACTAATCTCTTTTTAATGACAGTCACAGAAGTCAGAAAACTCATTTACTTTCCTGATCTTGAAAGCAATTCTCTGACTTGTCGGAGATATATTGTTATCTTTGTACATCAACGGTAAATGATAAAGGGAGACAACTCTTCAAACTTTAGAGGCCAAACCTTGTTCAAATTTTCAATTTTAATCATGAAGTCAGACGTGATTTTAAAGAAAGTGTAATGTCCTTGTACGTAAAAATTAATGATAAAAAAATAACCCTCTATATACTATTTTATACTGACGTACGGGTTAATAATTCACACTGAAGCGGTGGTGTAGCCTTGTGGATAAAGCGTTCGCTCATCACGCCGAAAACCCGGGTTCAATTCTCCACATGGTTTCAATGTGTGAAGCCCATTTCTGGTCTCCCCCACCATGATATTTCTGGAATATTGCTAAAAGTGGCGTAAAACTAAACTCAACCACCCACCTGATCCACACTTATGTAAACATGTTCTATCTATCCACGTATCTTACTATATATCTATCTATCTATCGTGGTGGAAAGAATAAAACGGGGTTGTTATCCATAAAACGTGTCATGTTCTCAGGGTTTACCCCCATAACGCAGACCTCCCAAAATGCAGATAAAAATAGCATACCATATATAGCACACAGTAAGAAAGGTCGTTCTGACGTAACACAAAGAAACGTCAAACGTGTTTATTAAGATATTAAGTTAAACCTAGAAGGTGCGATTTAACTTCATTGTAAGATATATCTATACAAAATATAACTTCTATCAACACTAATGTTTAGAAACAAGCTATCATTTTATGAGACACATAAAGAATATATTACCCTGACCAAGAATCATAGTTAACATGGGCATAAGATAGAACGTGAGCATAGTACATGATATGTCTGCTATAAAACATTTTGAAAACTGTTTGACAAATAAAGTGAATGAAACGTTAAAACGTTTCGGCTGACACAATATACTTTGAAACGACAGTGAGATATCATTTTCACAGAGTGCCGCCCTTGAGATCAGGGTGTAAACAAGAAAAAACGTATTACAAGAAAACATGGTAACAGGTTCAGTAATCAAAGACAGGCAATCTAAAGGATACAATACAATGGTTATACAATAAATATTAATATTTGCACATAGGCATGGTTTACATGCTAAAAGTTATCTATGCTAAAAATAACCAGTGGTCTTGAGATCAGGGTGTAAACAAGAAACCCGTAATATAAGAAAGCATGGTAAAAGTTTCAGTAATAAAGAAGACAGTCTAAAGGATACAATGGCAATACATTAATGTTTGCACATATAGTTTGTTTTTTTGTAAATATCTCTTCATCCAACGACCCAATCGATCTCAAACTGTGCAAGTGGGTGTTTTGTCAGACAACCTAATCACATGGGAAATCACCGATTTTATGCATTTGTATTAAAGAATCTGTCTATGTAACTGTCAACAAAATAAACAGCAGAACGCAGACGGCTTGCAGAGGGAGGGAGCCAATGACCTGTAACAGCGAGAACAAGTGGGGTTGGTCTTAGTTAACGCTCATCACGTACATTTGTTTCAGTGTTCCAACTACTGCGCTTACCCCCTTGTAATACAAACCAATAATAGCAATTGGAATCTATGATCGTTTGTTAAACAACTTTTATCCTAAGTTTAATAAATTATGAGATTGCAATTATGGAATACTTTCACAAACTGAATATTAAGGCATTACTTGTGTAATGAGACTTCGTCATTAATAGTAGTGGAACAAGAGTATATGTGAAAACAGACATGGCTCCAGGTCGTGGAGACACGTCTAATGACTCAATATCTATCTAAACAGATATCCCGACCCCCTTCTGGGAGCTGTCACCACCCCAGCCTCCTGTAATTCGTTCAGAAATAGCCTGGCCTTTGTCTTAAGCCTGGCAGGAACCCCAGGTCTGAAGTCTGAAACGACTGCCTTCACGCTGGAACTTCTGCCTCAGAGTCTCCATTCCCTCCACGTCGCTGTCGATGACGACGTTGTAAAGATGGCGGAGGACGGGGTTGACAGCTGAGCTGGTTCCGGTTGAGACAGGGAGATCTCGTAATAACCTTCTCTCTTCATCTTGGAGATGGTCGTTTGGAGTTAGCTCCGTGTATTTGACGACCATGTCTTTCTTGAGTATGTCATTAGCTCTTTGCTGTAGTCTTTGAGCCAAGTTCTTCAGTTCCAAGTTGTTGCTTCTCTTTGCTGCAAATAACATATTCAAGTGAGATAAAGTCGCAATGAAGGAGTCCCCTTGTGAAGTCATCTCTTCTTCTATCGTCTTCAGCTCGTTCTTCAGAAATTCGATATTCAACCTCCTGACACGAACAGGGAACTCGTCAATTTCTGTGATTCGGACCTGTCTCAGAGCTTGAATATCATCTTCATCCGAAATATCAGCAAAAGCGGTATCGCTTGTGTACTTCGATTCAAACTGGCGCAGAACCTTCTTCACGACTGACATGAATTCATCTCTGTCTGACGTCACTGCTTCGTTCCATCGAAAGTTCAGCTCGTAATCTACCCTTTCCCTGAAACGTCTCCAGAGATCCTTATCGTCAAGTATGCTGAAAACAAGAAGTATAATGTAAGTGTTACATGCAATGTGTTGTGCTTGATGAATCTGAGTATGAAACTTACTTGGACTGAGATACAACAGGTGCTACTTGACTAGCCCTGTGTTACACTGTTGTTATGCACAGATGTCGGACATGTGTCAAGCCCGTCAAAATGGCCAGATGATGCAGAATATATCAGTGAGAATTGCTGACCGATCCAGATTGTTAGTCGTTCGTCTGCCTTTAATAGCAGGCAGGACAGGCAGACACGGAAAGACGGCAGATGATGATATATAAACGACAGTTCAACATCACTTATCGATGAGCCGAGCTGTTAATAGAAACGCGTCATTACAAGGTGTGGTGCAAGACACCAGGCTATTCTTAGAAATGTAATTTCCCTAGTCTAAAGATAGTAAGAAATCCTATCGCTACTATTGGAAACATGACTTGGTGAATGATTGGATCCTCAGCCATGTCCTTGACTTTATAGACTGGTATCCCATCCCTGTAGTATCGTCTGCGCTGATAATGAATATTTCCTCCGTCCATATCTCCTGATAGTCACGTTGAAAGACATGTCTTAAATGGGACAGTCGCACCTGATCCCCAACTTTGAATTTAAAGGCTTTCCTTCTGGCTTCTCGAGACCCCCAGAGGTATTACACCTGATAATTCCATCTTTGACCTACCTTTTCATTTTCTCATACACCTCGGGTATCAAAATCCGTACATCTGCACATGCGTAGTCAATCATTTCCGGTGTAAATTCTTTTGTTGCCCAATAAGCAGCATTACTTTTGTACAATTTGGCCTGAAGCATACAAGTCAGAATCATACGGAAAGATTCTTTACCGTGTCACATTATGATGGTTTTAAAACATTGTTTGTGTTTATTTGCTTTAACGCGACAGTCAGCATTATTCCAGCTACAGACAATCCAGTGATCAACAGCAGGAGCATCGATTTATGCAACTGGAATACGATGACACTTGTCAACGAAGTCAGCGAGCCTGACCATCCGATCCCGTTAGTCGCCTCTTACGACAAACATGGGTTGGTGAAGATCAATTCTACCCGGTCTCCACGGGTTTACTGAAAAAGCAAACCCCCACAACATCGGGGTACCCTGAGGATCTATGGATTGAGACGCACTGATTGAGACATAAACTGACCTACAAAAGAAAGTATAAACCGGCTTTGGCGGGGTTGACTGAGAATATTAGAAGCACACTTCAAAATACTAAGATGATATCATCAGCGAAGCGAAAACACTGACGTCATCAGCAGCAATAACGTTTGGTCAACGCATTTGCAGCAGAACAGTGACGAAAAAATCATGCTGTCGAAATCCGGTCTATCGACTATTTCAGGTCTTTTCATTAACCTGTCGACATCAACTAAATCGTCCACGGTGGACGAGGAACGCGAGACGCTGACAACGTCACGATTTGGGAACAACTCTGTGGTATTTTTGTACAAAATGTTTGTGACTTGTCCCAATAAAAAAAATTTCCTTCTTGTTTTTGAAAATCATCCCAAAATACCAGGAAACATATTCTCGAAACTTTCGTAGATCTGAAAAAATTTAACTTTGATCGTAGCCAGTGTGTTAAGAATGGGCTTAAGAAGTTCGTAGGGCTACGAACGTTTCGAGAATAGCTAGCCAGGTGTGTACTTTCAATTGTACGTGAGAATATATACATTTCATTTTTCCCCATGACGCTTTTGCTGTACAAAATGTCTACGTGTGGCAGTATTTCTACATTTGTTAGCGAACTCAAGTGAGTTAGTAATAACACTTTCTTTTTCCTCAGCTACGCGTAACCTACTATGACGTCTTCTTTTCCCGCAAGGAAGTGACGTCAATGTAGCGGATGCGAACATCCATCAACTTCCGGGCATATGGAAGTTGTCTCCCTTCAGATTTTCAATGATGAAAAGAGCCGTCTGTGGAAAATATGAAGTTACATGAAACAATTAATGGGAGCAGCTTAAAACGCACGTGCAGCGTATGGGTATGGTTGATACTCACACGCGGTACACATACAGCAGACACATAGGTACACATACACCAGACACATGGGTACACATACAGCAGACACATAGGTACACATACAACGGACACATTGGTACGCACACAGACACATAGGTATACCTACAGGAGACACATGGGACACATACAGCATGGGTACACATACAGCAGACACATAGGTACACATACAACGGACACATGGGTACACACAGCGAACACATGGGTACACACACATCAACACATGGGTACACCTACAGCAGACACATGGGTACACATACACCAGACACATGGGTACACATACAGCAGACACATAGGTACACATACAACGGACACATGGGTACACCTACAGCAGACACATGGGTACACCTACAGCAGACACATGGGTACACATACAACAGACACAAGGTACACCTACATCAGACACATGGGTACACCTACAGCAGACACATGGGTACACATACAACAGACACAAGGTACACCTACATCAGACACATGGGTACACCTACAGCAGACACAAGGTACACATACATCAGACACATGGTCACACATACAGCAGACACAAGGTACACATACAGCAGACACATGGGTACACCAACAGCAGATACATTGGAACACCTACAGCAGACACAAGAGCACACATACAGCAGACACATGGTACACATACAGCAGACACATGTGTACACATATAGCAGACACATGGGCACACATACAGCAGACACATGGTACACATACAGCAGACACATGGTACACACACAGCAGACACATATGTACACATACAGCAGACACATGGGCACACATACAGCAGACACATGGTACACATACAGCAGACACATGGGTACACCTACAGCAGACGCATGGACAAATATGCAGTAGTTGCATAGGCCATATCTTGGCATACAGTAACAATGGGTGGTTGCACACAGATGCAAAATGGACAGGGTGGTTGCACACAGATGCAATATGAATGGTGGGGTTGTACACAGATGCAATATGAATGGAGTGGTTGTACACAGATGCAAAATGGATGGGGTGGTTGTACACAGAGGCAATATGGATGGGGTGGTTGTACACAGATGGGAGATGAATGGGGTGGTTGTACATAGATGCAATATGAATGGGGTGGTTGTACACAGATGCAATATGGATGGGGTGGTTGTACACAGATGGAAGATGAATGGGGTGGTTGTACACAGATGGGAGATGAATGGGGTGGTTGTACACAGATGCAATATGAATTGGGTGGTTGTACACATATGGGAGATGGATGGGGTGGTTGTACACAGATGCAATATGAATCGGGTGGTTGTACACAGATGCAATATGGATGGGTTGGTTGTACACAGATGCAATATGAATGGGGTGGTTGTACACAGATGCAATATGAATGGGGTGGATGTACACAGATGCGATATGAATGGGTTACAATATGGATGGGTTGGTTGTACACAGATGCAATATGGATGGGGCGGTTGTACACAGATTGAAGATGAATGGGGTGGTTGTACACAGATGGGGAGATGAATGGGGTGGTTGTACACAGATGCAATATGAATTGGGTGGTTGTACACATATGGGAGATGGATGGGGTGGTTGTGCACAGATGCAATATGAATGGGGTGGTTGTACACAGATGCAATATGAATGGGTTGGTTGTACACAGATGCAATATGGATGGGGTGGTTGTACACAGATGCAATATGAATGTGTACACGGGGGTGGTTGTACACAGATTGGAGATATGAATGGGGTGGTTGAATACAGAGATGCAATATGAATGGGGTGCTTGCACACAGATGGGAGAGATGGATAGGGTGGTTGTACACAGATGCAATATGAATGGGGTGGTTGTACACAGATGGGAGATGGATGGGGTGGTTGTACACAGATGGGAGATGAATGGGGTGGTTGTACAGAGATGCAATATGAATGTGGTGGTTGTACACAGATTGGAGATGAATGGGGTGGTTGTACAGAGATGCAATATAAATGGGGTGCTTGCACACAGATGGGAGATGGATAGGGTGGTTGTACACAGATGCAATATGAATGGGGTGGTTGTACACAGATGGGAGATGGATGGGGTGGTTGTACACAGATGGGAGATGAATGGGGTGGTTGTACAGAGATGCAATATGAATGTGGTGGTTGTACACAGATTGGAGATGAATGGGGTGGTTGTACAGAGATGCAATATGAATGGGGTGCTTGCACACAGATGGGAGATGGATAGGGTGGTTGTACACAGATGCAATATGAATGGGGTGGTTGTACACAGATGGGAGATGGATGGGGTGGTTGTACACAGACGGGAGATGGATTGGGTGGTTGTACACAGATGCAATATGAATGGGGTGGTTGTACACAGATGCAATATGAATGGGGTGGATGTACACAGATGCAATATGAATGGGGTGGTTGTACACAGATGCAATATGGATGGGGCGGTTGTACACAGATTGAAGATGAATGGGGTGGTTGTACACAGATGGGAGATGAATGGGGTGGTTGTACACAGATGCAATATGAATTGGGTGGTTGTACACATATGGGAGATGGATGGGGTGGTTGTGCACAGATGCAATATGAATGGGGTGGTTGTACACAGATGCAATATGAATGGGTTGGTTGTACACAGATACAATATGGATGGGGTGGTTGTACACAGATGGGAGATGAATGGGGTGGTTGTACACAGATGCAATATGAATGTGGTGGTTGTACACAGATTGGAGATGAATGGGGTGGTTGTACACAGATGCAATATGAATGAGGTGCTTGCACACAGATGGGAGATGGATAGGGTGGTTGTACACAGATGCAATATGAATGGGGTGGTTGTACACAGATGGGAGATGGATGGGGTGGTTGTACACAGATGGGAGATGAATGGGGTGGTTGTACAGAGATGCAATATGAATGGGTGGTTGTACACAGATGGGAGATGGATGGGGTGGTTGTATACAGATGCAATATGAATGGGGCGGTTGTACACAGATGCAATATGAATGGGGTGGTTGTACACTGATGCAATATGAATGGGGTGGTTGTACACAGATGCAATATGGATGGGGTGGTTGTACACAGATGCAATATTGATGGGGTGGTTGTCCACAGATGGGAGATGGATTGGGTGGTTGTACACAGATGCAATGTGAATGGGGTGGTTGTACAGAGATGCAATATGAATGGGGTGGTTGTACACAGATGCAAAATGGATGGGGTGGTTGTACACAGATGCAACATGGATAGGGTGGTTGTAAACAGATGGGAGATGGATTGGGTGGTTGTACACAGATGCAATATGAATGGGGTGGTTATACACAGATGCAATATGAATGGGGTGGATGTACACAGATGCAATATGAATGGGGTGGATGTACACAGATGCAATATGGATGGGGTGGATGTACACAGATGCAACTTGGGTGGGGTGTCTATGGCCTTGATTAGGTAGTTTGAGGCAAAACAGTGAAACACTTTCTCATTTGCAAGCACAGATCAAGGTGAGTGTCATTTTACAATACCTGCACGTCAAAAACATTGTTCAGCATGACATCAAACTGACACTTCAGGGCGGCGCTGTCTCAGTTGCACCCGTGAAATACCTAAAAGTGAAAAAAGTGAATGAGTTTAGTTTTACGCCGCTTTTAGCAATATTCCACCAATATCATGGCTGGGGACACTAGAATGGGGCTACCCCACCGCCCCTAAAAAATGAAAGAAAGGTTGATTTGATGCTGAACTTTACGGCGCATCAACTTCACTGGTGGTAGAGTAACACAATTGTACAAGAGTGAAATCCTCTACTGAATTACTTATTTTCGCACACGTTTACCTAGATTTATTCGCTTGTCCTCAAATACGAATTCGATGAATAGATGTGCGCACGATTAGAGTGAGTGAGTGATTTGATTATACGTCGCTTTTTAGCAATAATTCAGCAATATCACGGCAGGGCACACCAGAAATAGGCCTTACACATTTGACCCATGTAGGGACTCTAGTCTGTACATATACATAATGGTTAACTGAATGGTTGATCATTATAACCATTCCATCCTGCCATCCTGCGTTTTTTAAACTATATTCGTTAGTCCACCAACAAAATCCATCTAAAATCGTCAGCCCGAAGTACAAATGAGTGAGTGAGATCAGTTTTACGTCGCTTTTTGGTAATATTCCAGCAATATCACAACTTGGGACATCAGATGGGCTTCAGGCAAATGTACCCATGTGGGGAATCGAACTGGGATTTTTGGCGTGACGAGCGAACGCTTTCACTACTAAGCTACCCCAATGCCCAGGAAACCCGAGGTGCAAAACAGCCGAAGTGCAAATAGGAACCTAATAAATCGACATGGCGGAAAATAGAGAGGCAGTCGTGGGAATGTTTAAGATCTAATTTGAGTATGTTTCCTATCAGAAATACTGATTACTGTCATCACGTGACAGACATACCTTGACGATGTCTTGATTTTCCAGAAACGACTTCAGTCGGCCTTCAGTGAGACCTTTGCTCAGCTCAACGAAAACATTGAACAGGTAGACAAAACCGTCTGGTTTGGCCACCTGGAGAAGAGTGAGAGGCCCTTCTTTCCGAGATCGATTCCCTCACAGTCCACAGCAACGACAGGCTCCTGGAGAAGGTCCTCTACAGCCTTGACGCAGTCATCGACGTTGTCCACAACCTCGTGGCGTACTCCATCTTCTGCCATCTGCAAAAATAAAATAAAAAATAGCCTGTATCTTGTGCTTGCTTTCAGTAGTCCCTCTTTATTAGTGAGTTTATTGGAGTGAGTGAGAATGGTCTTATGCC